GAAATTTATTTTGAGTGTCTTCATAGTTTTATTTTTTAGATACAGCAATTTTTATATACTGCAGGAAAATGAAAAACAATCCTATGATGCAAATTTGCAAAGAAAACAGCATGTGCATCAAAACAAACTTTTTCCAGCAGTGCAATTCGAGTTCTAAGCATCCCAGAAACGACACAGAAAAGTATAGAGTCAAACATGACTTATAAAAACACCAGTATAGGCTTTTAAGGCCTACAAGTAAAAAACTACATTTTCCGCAAAAATTACGTCACTTACGGTTTTTGGCAGGAAATGGCGGACATGCGATTGTTCGTGCTGACGTCTTATTCAATGTGGGAAGTGTTACGAACAGCTGATCGGATCGGCAAAGCGTGTTTCTGGAATATTATGTTTTTGTTCCTGCAAGCGCTTTTTATGCAATTTTTGCAAAGCTATATGTGGAAGGAAACCATGACCTAGGACAAGCTGATGGCATAAGATGTAAGTACAACTCCTCCGGTTTCATATGCAAAAAAAAATATTGCGCTAGCTTACGCGGTTCCGGTTCTACAGGGATTTAAAAGTAGTTACACAAAACGGAGCGTGCCTGCTCTGACCGGCTTTAAATGGTTTAATAAGTCCAGACGCTTTTCTTTCCAAGCTCCTTAGACTACGATAACCTGGATGACTGAAAACCTTCACTTTGATGAACATAAAAATCCAAATTTCTGGGAAAGGATTTAGATTTTTAATTGTCAGTATCTGTTTTTTATATTAGGAATTAACATTAAATTCCAATCTCAACTTGTTGGATTGAAAAACAAGGAGACACAGCTGAACACACCCCTGTCCTGGAGGACTCACCTCTGGTGTAACAAGCTTGTTGGACTTTGCCGGTGCACTGCAGCAGCTGGTTGTTGACCATCAGGAAGTCCTGACCATAACACTCGATGTAAAACTGCTCAGCTGCAACAAAAGCAGGTTAGGGTTGTGTTTAATTGTTTTCATTAAGGCTACGTCCACACATACACAAAAACTTTTCAAACGCAGCTTTTTCTATGCGTTTGGATCTTTTGTCCACGTGTAAATGATGTTTTTGATCACTGACAACTGAGATTTTTTAAAGCTCCTGCCAGAGTAGAGATTTTCAAAAACTCAGTTTTTACGTTTACCTGTGGATGAGGAAAACAGAGATTTAGTCACGTCAAAGGTGTGCACCTGTTTTGACGTCACGCTGTGTGCCACGGTGTTGTTTACATGAGATAAATTTCTAAAATGCTGGAGAGAGACAAAATACTGTTGCTGTTAATCTGACTATCTGCAGTTTTTACACACTTACACATGCAGTTACCAACTCTCCATTTACACAGAGAGAGGCGTCACAGTGAACTTCAGACGTGGCTTCTCCGGTTTTGAATGATTGTAATATGTTTTAAAATTACATTTATATATGCTAAAATAATGTTTAAATGTTAACATTTGAAATGATGAAGACAGTTTAAAGTAACACAAAATTATCTGTCCTTACAGAAAAACACAAAAACTTTTCAGAAGTACTGAAGGTTGCATAAAACCCTGTTTACTTGTTCCCTCCCAGGCTTCTAGACTTCTAATTGGCCAATATTTCTAAACGGCTAGGATTTGGCATGTTCTTGACAACGTTTGACTGCGTTTTTGGCGTTTACACTAAGAATGCTTTTTCTTGATTTCGCACATGCTGGTGGAGCAAAAGTCTGTCTGAACAGATATGGGTAAAATATTACCCAGAATGTACAATAATTTATAGCACCTGCACAACAGTCAAAGCTTTTAAAATATTGTAATTTGAGACTAACAGAATGATTATTAGGCTAGTTCAATGATGTCAAAGTGAGTCATATTTAGACTAAACATTATATAAGGCTTAAAACACCAATTAAGATATAAATAAAGGTTCTCTAACAAGTATCCAGACTCAGAGGTGATGATTATTTTCAGTATTATTTTCAACAAATTACTAGCACATTGCTAGTAATTTGTTTCGACCAACTTGAGATTAAGAATATTGTCCTACTTTCAGCGTTCAGTTTAGTTACCTGAGCAGAGAGGTATCAGTAGAAGCAGGAGCAGATAAGCCTTCATGTTTTGGTTTTATGTCAATGCAACGAACAGCAAAAATGGAGATGAGCACACTCAAGCTGGACTTTTATCCTCTGCTAAAACCACAAATGTACACAAAGGTTAACTGATAGATAACTGATCAGAAGACAAACTGTACTGAGCTCAAATTACTGTTTGTCTAAACTTTGTTCCATTAGTTAATCATGAACCAGTAGGGTAAAGAGGGTAGACCTGTACATCTGAGTCGGCTGCTTTTGCTGAGTCTCGAGTTTATGTAACATCAGATTGTCAGACTGAGGTTTTTTTTTAAAAATTGAATTGGACCAGGGATATCTTCTTCACCAAAGCCATTACCATAGTCAACTCAAACTTGCATTAAGTAATCTGCACTGAAATATCATCAATTCTCTGCCTGTCTGTCTCTGTGTCAGCACTGTACTGTGTATTTATATTTATAGTAAGTGTATAGTTAAATTATTGTATAGTTTTTATAATGTGCTATGAAGCACATGTGCACTTTTATAGATCTGTTTCCAATTTCGCTATTGTCGTGGTCTGGGTGGTTTCCCACAGCATCGGCTCCTCCCCACTGGGTGGAGTCTTTGTTGTTCCTCACCTGATGGCAATCGTACCAGCAGTATTTATGACCGGCGCACTCAACTGGTCTTCGCCAGATTATCTGCCAACTTTAGTCAGTTCTCGGCCTCACGTCTGTTCCTTGGTGACTCATCGTGTGTATTAATCTTATTTCCTCTGTTTTCTCGTCAGCCTCTGAAACCCACCTACCAAGCTCTCCTGGATACAAGTTTGCAGCCGCCGGTAATCCTTCCCCATTTTGGAACTGCCGTTCTCTTCTGCCTGCCTCCCTGCATTGCATGCAGCACCCATCTGGACTTCTCCTGCCTCCCCCCTCCACGCAACCCCCACCTGCAAGCTTGTAAGACAGCTCAGTGTATTCTCCTTGGATTCACTCGCAGCCCTCTGTGGGATTCCCCTGACTACTCTCTCCTCTGTTTCAGTGCCCTGGCCCGCCACAGTTTCCCCTGCCCAGTACCTGCACCCAATTATCCCTGCCATCTAGTTATAGTCACAGTATTTTTCTCTCGCCTCAGACATCTAGTTTATGTTCATTAATTCTAGTCTGCAATTTCTGTTAGCCTCTGAGCATTGTAATAAAGTCTCTTTTCGTTACACCACACCTCTGGCCTCCGGGTTTGAAACTGCACTTGAGTCCATCCCATTTCCACGGGCCATGACAGCTATACCATGTATAATGACAATAAAGGCTTTCAATTCAATTAAATTCAGTATATATATTTTTTAATAAAATCATGATAAGAAAGAGTGACTCCAAAACTACTCCAAAAGCATGAAAGGCTGGGTTTGATTTAAAGGGGCATGATTAACATGTAGTCATGAATGGCCTTTCTGTCTGGTATAATGAACATGCCTGTTTGTTATAGTCATAGTTAGTCATTCAGATGTAGAATACTGTAGGCAATTTTCATATCTATGCTATCAACCAATTAACTTGACAGTTATAATTCAGTTGAAAACCTTACTTTTGTTAGACCTCAGTACAGTGTTTGATACTGTTTATGTAAACTGAGCGGAAAGGCTGATTTTATTTCCAAGATGTGGGTTTTGTGTTTTTAAAAGGAAGGAAACCTTCCTGAA